AGCCCCGCGACTTACAACCCCCCCCCCCAAATCATCGGTGAACGAAACTGCGGCAGCTGAAACCCCTGTACGACGAGTGCACGGTTATTACAGCTGACAATGCTGATGATGATGATCACGACAGTGAACACCAGTAGTCACTTGTTCCATTTCGTTGGTGGTGAGTATAGGAGAGAGTCACTAATGCCGTTTTTTTTACATTTTTACCCCTAGTATTTGCTCCTCAGTGGCTGAAGTCTTGGGAACCGTTGTTTTGGTCTGGACCTTTCAATGCTCCCAGATCCGTACAGCACTGACCATGGACTTACTGATGACCCTCCTTCAGTTGAAGCGGGTCCAGCAGATAATCCAACTGTCGAAGGAGAAGTCCAGATAGTAGGTGATGTTAGTTCCCTAATCTCCTTTTCTAGGACTTACCAAACTACATTTCCAATTACCATGGATATATTCACTACCAGCGCCTGTTCTTCATCGCTCAGCGTTGTCCTTCGTTACGGCACACTGCTCTGCGTCTCGCACATGACTACATCAAGAGATATACCTTGGACACTGCATCTTATAACCGAGTTTTCCTCATGCTGGCTGAGGAGGTTTGTGAAAATCTTATTCTTTGTAGTAGTATGAATCCGCGCTTTGTTTGGGCTCTGATTTAGTACAATGTCACCCGCTCAACTATGTTCTACCCTCATACCACTCCAATCTGTAAACAGGACCTTATGTTTTCAATATCGCTTCGTGTGTTTATTCTCAGCACCTCGTTGTACGAGACATTAACTGGAGGATATGCGAGGTGTTTTTCGAGTCCTTTTGGTAATTGATTGAGATATTGATTTGGATGTATTCGTAATTTATCGAAATATTGGTCGTGTTCACTAGATGTGCTCATTCCCTCGAGTTCGTTTGCCCCTGTCGAAGGTCATCAAGTGACCGTTTGCTGGCCCTCTATTCACTGCTACATTGTTGGTCAAACTCCGAGCTGGGTCGCACATGAAGACTTGTCATTCATTGGGAAAAGTCATCGGAGGATACGTAGTCCTGATTGATGAGCCGCTTCCAACAACCTTACTAGTCTCAGTCAGCAGTCTAACCACCAGTTATTCATCCTTAACATCCAACATTCTTTTCCATCTCAAATAACTTTACTGTTAACGTATATACTCAATGGAGCAACGCAGCTAATTTTTCAACTTTTTACAGTGGACGTAGCCGTTATTAGCCTTCGCGACAAGCAAATCGACCTGATGAGTCTCTTCTGATCAACCTAATCATTCTTGTTTATTTCCACACTTGTAGTTTTTCGTTCTTGGAATGCGGCCCATGAGTTAGAAGGAAATTCGGGCAACTTTTTGTCATCTCAGTCGGGTGGAACAGGAGAACAGGTTTTATGTTCACACTCAATACGAGCCATATTGTCAACTAAGGCAATGAGCAGTGTCAATGGAATTCAATATTTTCCGTACAGCTGTGGAACTGATAAACAAGAGGTCATACAAACAACTCATCTTCACCTATCCAACAAAAACAACTACCACCTGCCTGCTGAGCTTTTCGGAATCCAACCATACCTTTTCTCTGTTCATTCCATGGCTCCACTCCATGGTTCATTCCATCCAAGTTCACAATTTGTTAATTATTTTGCTCTTGTGGATTAGTAGCTAGTTAGTTAGAACGATACCACTATTTAAGTGTGTCAGGTTGCCTTCTGAATGTGTCTTCCCACAACTTCTGTTTCTCTTTATCCACATTCCGTAATAGCAAGCTGGACCGGCTGCTCAGTCCTCTTCGGCCCTAGGCGAGTCTCTCAACGAAATACATCGTGGTATGATTAATGGAGTATCCAATGCGTTAAACGAGCAACTCCCAAATACCGTATCCATTCCTGGTGCTGGTGAAGTTATGACGTCTGGTCCTACACTAAGCGATGGAATGCGACAAGCTTTAATGAATGTAATGGCTGGTAAAGTAAGTCAGTGGGGTTCTATGAGTTTGGCGGGCTATGTGAGTAAGGTTTGTTTGATAGTTCGCCCTTGTTTACGTTTTGCACCCTTTTTGCCTTTTGCGCCAATGCCTCCCGCCGGTAGTGACATTCATTGTTCTTCATTAGCAATATGAACAAATACTGCTAAAACTAACTATACGGTGACGGGCTATCCGTGTTTTCAGACGCAACAGCCGGAAGCATTGGTGGTGAAACGATGTGTGGCGTGCAAACACTTCCATTCCTTGTTCTGATCTAGCCTGACTTTCAAAATAACGAGGAGTAGTCGAAACTCCTTAAATTCAAGCACACACGTTACCAAACTTCCCACCGAAATCAAGAGAGCTATGATTGGCAAGATTCAGTCATGTAGTGCATTCTCCAGGCCCTGCAACTTTCCCACAGTTGAGACGAATTTATTGCGAGAAAACTGTCAGGAAGATTCCTGAAAATAACTCGGAACGCCAGAAGCCTGTTGAGACTCTCAAACTCCATCAAGATCTCAATAGGGGAGCCGGTAAGCATCTACGTTAGTCAGCCAGCCGCTCAATTCAGCAAAGGCCGGCGCGTGTTCTAGCGCTGGCCTATTTCAAGCGTACTGGGGTGCCTACACCTCCAACCGCTCAATCAGACAATCTGGAAAGAAACTGACAGCACGAACGCCACTGATATCGATTAGCCACCATTTCTTGCAACGTCTCCAGCCAAGCACAGACGGGGTCATGGGGACCCCATCCTGGAAGGCGTACAACGCCAACAACACCCAAACTCTTCGTGATCCCTTTCACGCCTTTCTACTAAGTTATGTGTTGTCCACCTCGCGGTTTGCGCCATCCTGAAAGAGGCACACAACACTCGTCTCGGTAGATGGTGTTTCGGCATGCGTAGCACATGACCGAGCCATCGTAGTCGATGATGTTGGATGTTTTCTTGGATTGAGGTGCCTGCAGCACATCCAAATACGGCATGTTCTGAAGCATGGTTTTGCACTTCGACGGTGCAAGGTACATGCCAAAATATGGTATGTTGCTGGTCAGTTTATTCAACAGAGCTTGTGCTTCGCTTTGGTCTTCAAGGATGATGGCGATATCTGCGTGCTCCAGATCAACAAGACTCTCACCAGCAACAATTTGGACACCGGGGTTTTGAAGGGTATCCAGCGTTCGCCTCATTATTTTGTCAGTGATGAAGTTGAATAAGAATGAGGAGAGTTGGCATCCTTGCCTGATACCACTTTTTGTAGGTAAGCTTTTGGGGAGCTCACTATGCACTCTCACCCGCCCAGAAGTGTGCGAGTATACGGATCGGATTATGTTTGCAAACTTCTGTGGCATACCCTGTTGAGCAAATGTAATTAACAACACTGACCGATCGACGGAGTCGAACAAGCTCTTAAAGTCAAGGAATACCAGGGTTGTTAGTCGTCTGCACATGTGGCGTTGCTCTGACACCTGATAAAGTGTGAATATGTGGTCAACGCAGCCTCTACCCCAGTCGAAATCTCGCTTGATTATCACGAGGCAAGGTTTCGCGTGCCACCATTAAGACGACAAAGAATCAGTGACGCCAGAAGCCTTGTCACAACAGGTACCAAACTCACACCTCTGTGGTTACTACTTTCACTGCGAGTACCCTTCTTGAAAATCGGCATTACTGTCCATTCACCCCAGTTGTCTGGGACGGTCTCCTTCTCTCGGATAGACCTAAATAGGCTAGACGGGAACTGGCTGAGGAGCCCACCGCCATCCTTGAAAAGAGCAGTTGGAAGGTCATCCGGACCAGCAGCACGGTGACACTTTTGTAGATAAATACATTCGGACACTTCTGAGACTGAAGGTGGCTCCATATTTATGATCCACTTTTCCGTTGAAGGCCAGGTTTCTGAATTGTAGGTAGCAGATGGCCAGCTGAAATACTGTCCGAAGTGCTGTGCCCAGTGTTCCAAACGTTATGTTTTGTTGCATATAAGAGAGCCATTTTGGTCTCTGATTAATTTGCTGGCAAGAGGTTTCCGAGAACCAGTAGAACGAATCAAGTAGAACAGCTTGTGCACGTTTCCAGCATTCTTTGCATCTTCCATTTCCTCGGCCTTTCTTGTCCACCAAGCTTCTTGGTCTGCGCGGACACTCAGTTTCACTTGGCGCCGGATGATGTGCCGGGTGAAGGTGTGGTGGCGGCCAAGAGGAATCTTGTGGCGGGTCTACAGGAAGTACACGGTCCCATCAGAGATGCAATGTTTGGATGACTTGGCTGGGTTGTACCGAAAATAGACGTTCCGGCCTTGATTAGTGCTTTGGGTATCTCTTCCAGTGGCCGTTTATATCCGACACCGCACTGTCCGGCAGGCATTCGAGGAGCTGGCTCGTTTGACTAGCTTCTCCATGGCTAGGCGAGGTGTGTGCGATTTGCGTACACCTGAAAAGCGCAAAAAAACGCAAAAGCGTACAAGTGCATGGTCGGAGTCCACGCTGGTGTTCCAGAAGGAGGGACAGGCGGTGATCGATCCTCGCCACGGATAACTGACGCCGATATGGTCTATTTTGGTTCGTGGGCACCACATTAAGCGATTTTCGCTGTTCCGGAAATCGGTACTGCAGTGACAGTCTGTGATCGGCACACATCTGAAGTAACCGGTCTCCGTTGTCCGTGCGTCTCTTGTCCAATCCAAGACGAACACCCATTTGGGTCCCAGCAGCGCTTAGTCTACCTACCTGGGTGTTCATTTCACCAACAAGCACAACAATATGTGAGCCGTTAGCCCGCTGTACGAAGACAACTAGAGCGCCGTAGAAACTCCTTGGCAGATTCAGAGCTACAGTCAGTCGGGGCGTAAGTTGACAGATTAAACAAGGTGCGATGAACCTCACTTCCTCTATATTCTCTCACAAATGTTATCAAACGAACCGCACTGTCAACGGGTATCCAATCAAGCAGAGATGCTTCCGCTCGTTCGTTCAATACAGTACCAGTCCTAGCATATCCAGCTGAGCAGCTTCGGCATCACCAGAGGTGCGCAACCGGAACCTGGAAAAGATCGAGGAGGCTGTATGTTCGATCACAGTACCCGCGTCCTTGTTTCTGGCAGACAACGGAGACCAATGCAGAGTGAATCCAGCGTACGAGCAAGAGCCACCCGTTGACCTGCTTGTTTCAGTGTGCGAACATCAAGGGTGGCTAAGTAGACAGGCTTCCGGGGTTTGAAAACAGACTTCGAAGTCTTTAGAGTTGTAACTGAACTCAGACCTACAGAAGTTGCAGCTGAATTTGATGCAGGGCGAGCAAAACGGTCAGTCATAGAGCTGGGACCTGCGGAGAAAGTATTCGAATCTGGATGGGGGGTGGTGGAAGACGGAGAACGTGAAAGCATAAGAAGAGAAGCGTCAGCAGTAGAATGTTTCGCTTACCCACCCTGCTGTATGCAGCAAGTGAGGCGATCCGGCTGATGGCACCGCGCGACGGCCAATATGGCATGAAAGTATTGTTAGCTGTAAATGTCATGGTTGTACGAGGGCTTGGTTGCTGCCAGAGGCCCACACCCAAATAGGAGGACGATCAGGTTCCTGGACCAAAGCCTTTGGCTCAAAAGCCTAACCGCAAGACAGTGGTGTTGGGCTGGAAATGCAAGTACATTACCATTTCTACGGAACAAGTTGCCACACGTTACAACCCCAACCAGGAGGACCAGGAGTCTGTGTTCGCCAGACCTCTTACCCACTGACCAACTTGGTATGAGAGACCCTAAGTGTCGCGGGGACACCCCAGTATAGCTCAATGGGTCGCTGAGGTGCGCAAACCGTCACATCACTGTAGGGTCCACTCTCTTCTTGTTCCTTGTTGGCTAGTCTTTTTCCAGAACCAAGGCACTGGAGCGAGGACAGCAGTCAAATACAACAAAACAGCTAATGTTCAAAGGGTTATTGAAAGTACCTCGCTTAGTTTTATCAGCTATCGAGATGTTCACGATCAGAGTTCCGATAAATCTTTCAGAACGATCGCATCATTGACGTGTTTATATTGTGGTTTAAAACGAACGATTTGAGCGAAACCTTTCAACTAACCACGGACACCTGCAAGTTCAAAGCTTGAGAGTTGAAACGGTTCACCTAATTATCCGAAGAACGGATTCCTCCGTGAGTACGATTTGCATTCTCCAGAGGTGTTCGCTCGGAACCGCTGCAGTACGTACCGTCTGTATACCGTTTACGTGCCGGTGCGATCTGTGACAACAAGTATCTTTGCTTACAGTCACCGAACGGCTTATGCTGCTCCGATCACACAATTTTGTCAGATACAGCCTGGACCCAGTATGCACAGTTCCACGTCTTTACGTGCATCCATCCATGTACACTCCTTCACAGAAGTTAAGATCCTTTTTACTCATCATCATCATCTCTGTTACTGTACCTATTATCACGAAAAACAGATTATATTTACCCATTGTGCTTGGATCTGGTAAAGGCAGAAAAACCTACCCAATTTGTCCCATATGTTTTATTGCTGGAAAACATTACAGGCCCCCTTGAAGTTGGGTACCTGAAATATGAATTCAGTAGATGCATTGTTACCACAAAGCGTAAAGGTTGGCGTCCAACTGAGGCGTCTGCGCACTGCTAACATTGTCTTGTTCGGCCCTGCTTTCCTTAATTGTCTCTGGGAGTGGGGACGTAATATTTGGATTCTAGTGTATGAACTACATGAACTGATTCAACAGATTCAGCGGATTTTTTGGACAGTTTGATTGTGGTTATTATCCGATCTGTTTCTTCCTTTCAGAACGACGCTAAATTGGTTTATGATACCCAGTGGGAAGAAAGCTCCCGTCGAAGTGGCACGATATTATTGGACCAATTGGACACCGAATTGAAGAACTACAAAGCTAATTCTATCAAAGAAAGCATTCGGTAAGCACGACTATTTACCTGGTTATCTGGTCCGACAAAACTTAATTCAATACGACTGCAGTTCAGTCATTCACGATAGTTCTTTTGATTTCACCGACACAGTTTGATTCAAAATATTTGGTCGTTTTCCGTTTGACGTCTGTAGCCCTTACTCGAATTCATGAGGTTGTATTAGGCCCTGTTGGGTGGCACCCCTCTGATATTCATTTGGAATCTTATTTGCGCATTTTCTCACTATGTTAGTCGCCCCTCTCTGTCTGCATAAAACCGCCGCTCGCATACGGATGATATCATTGATGATACCCGGAAATGTCTTCTCGAATGACCACGGAACGTCTGCAGGCCAATTATCAAGCTTGACAAACAGATTAGCAGCCACCTAAGCAGTTAACAGTAAACTCAACTGAGCTGGTGATTCTTCTGCACGTTGTCTTTATTGCTGCTTTTCTCGAAACCTCGTTATCATTTACGTATCTAGCCATTACCAATTGAACGAAGCTAACTATTGGGTTACTTCTGTCCAATTCTCTCTCGCTATGTAGACGCGGAACAGATGATCTGGGAGATCTCTATCTTAAATTAGGTCAATTGGCGAACGCCCGCAAGTGCTACATGCGTTCTCGGGATTATTGCACGTGTCAGCAGCAAGAAATCAACATGTGCCTGAATGTTATCAAGGTTAGTTCTGCTACTTAAACTGTAGTATTTTTTGAGACAATCGAGCTTGCTTGTGATAGCTTTGATTGATGCACTTTGTTTAGATTTCAGTAAAACACTAACGATATCATTCCAATGCTCCTCCACCAGATTGCTATTTTTCAAAGAGCATGGTCTCAAGTCAGCGCTCACGTAACTCGAGCTTATGGTCTCTCGGAACTTCGCGATGTCCCTCTGTGTTCCACTTCTCCTGGTTCCACATACTCACAGCAACGAACACGACCTGCTTTCGGGTCTCGAGCAGCTGCAGCGGGAACAGCTAGAACAGTGAACTCCGGGAGAATGACATCGGAAGGTCTCACTGGTACCGGGATCCCCACATCTTCGCCCGATCCCCTGTCCAGCAGAGCGTCCGCCCGCCAGCACAGTGATGGTGCTGGAACGTCAGGTGGACAGGGCTCCCGGGATGCGATGGCTCGTGCTCCTACGCAGCTTGCTATTGCGGCGGGTCTCGTTGAGTTAGCAGCCAGGAACTATCGGGGAGCTGCTATGAGCTTCCTACAGGTGACCTGAGTGACGTCAAATAATCATAATTCACTCCTCACTTTCTGCTACCTTACTCTCTAATCTCCGACTTGTTTGGTTTATGAGGTGTTTAGCAATAACATTACAGGTGAGATGTCTAACATAAGGATTACCGAAAGGCCGGAATTCTTTGGTGTTTGTTTGTGTCTGTTCGTGTGTAGCTGTCCCGTAAAATGACATGAGTTGATGTGTTTTCATGGACCTGGTTATGATGGTGCTCTGGTGTTATGCTTAGACTAGTGACATTCGAATACCTTGGAAAAGTAGTCAGGTGGGCGCCGTAAGTATCAGGAAGTATAACAAGCTTCGTTTCAACTGATTTATGAAAACCTCAATTGCTGAAATCAAACTAGAGCAGAAAGTGCACCTCACGAACGGCCGTTAAATGAATTCTGCATGAATTACCTTGTCTAAAACCGGAAAGAAGTTTGGCTCAGGAAAGTAATGATGGAATAAATGCTGGAAGCTGACAAGTACTCGTCGCCTGATTCAACTTGTGTTCCAGAGACGTTCATTTTACGGTCTGATTAAGGCAGCATGCGGTTGTATAATTTGCTGTTTAATCCTGTCACACACTGATGTTGACTCAGTAGATCTTGAAATCCTTAGCTTTTTACGCATGCTTCCGTTGGTTCGCGTTATAACTATGTTCACAGTTTGTTGACCCTTTTGCACCCCTAGCCTTGGTCATTTTTCGGGACCAAGATGGTGATATCCTTGGTCATCCTCACGCTGTCGGCCCGTCCTTTTGGTTCGCAGACCACAACCATAAGATTAAAGTGCGAAATCGAGGGTTAGGTTGTCATGACCATCAGTTACTGTTTTCATAGTATTCACTCGATCGAAAGTAGCGACCAGTGTAAATTCCGATTCAATCGAGTGATGTAGACCGTGGTTGGCGTAAGACATCCGTGAAACAACGGCGCCCACATAGTATCATCAAAAGCATACTTAGAGTCATTTTTGCTTATGATGTGCCCAGTATTTAGACTATGAATACTTTACGGATGCTTAGTGTTGTTCAATGAATATTACTCTACTTCATTCCGGACCTGTATTTTCGACATCACCAGGTGAATCCGGATCACTGTGAATCTCCTACGAGCAGTATCGTTACACAGTCGGATTTGGCATATTTCATCACATTATGCACTCTGGCAACATTCGATCGGGCAGAGTTGGTGAGTCAGGTGCTAAATAGTCCCTGTGTCCGACTTTTGTTGGAAGCTGAACCATCCTGTCGTGAAATACTCTACTCATTTCATCACGCGGACTATGCTTCTTGTCTGGGTCGGATAAACAAACTGAGCAACGTTTTGCGGTTGGACTATTTTCTGGCCGATCACGTAACCACATTGTGCTGGGAAATCCGCAGTCGAGCCATCTGTCAGGTGGGTTCGCTCCTTCCCTTCTTTTTAGTTGTTTTGTATCATTGGTTCGCTGATGTCGAAACGTGACGTAAGTACTCGAGGAAATACTACCGTGCATTGAGTATTTGGTTGCGGTTTCTTTCGTTCGCCAAACCTCATTTCCCACACATGTCAGCTCCCATCTCAGTTTGAAGCAACGCGGAATTCTCTGCGAACCAGACTTTCTTACACAGTGCACGAAATAATTATAAAGCCACCGTATTTGGCAATCTTTTGGTCACTTTTGATCTCGCTAAAAACTAAGTGAGGGTTTGTAGCGTCAGTTTGAATACATTGGAACAAAATATTTATCCAGCTATCGTATTTCATCCGTTTTTCTCCTGGCCTGCAGTATGCCAACCATTGTCCTGGAAATTTTAAAGTCACAAAGACGCTCTTTTGGCGAATGATCCTCACCTTAATCTAGACTAGACGTTAAACATCAGACGAGCGTGGAATCATGTCCAAACAAACGCACACAAAAATGTGGATTGCTCTTTGGTCGACCGCGAGCAAGCACACTCAGTGAAGCAAGCTGGAGCTGTCGGACGCTGACCTAACCAAGTAGCAGAGAATAAGGATCAGGCTGACTTCTTGCCAAAGTGCAGCTAGATCGGTCACTGTCGACGTCGCTAGAACGTCGTGCGACCATGCAGTGATTTTAGTTACGCATTCTTTTGGTGTTTTGGAGCGGCTTCAAGCAGCGAGTTGTGAGATCGAAGCAATAAGCTCGTGTTCATCATACCGACCATTGCCCATGGATGGCGTGCATGGCCCAACCTAGTTTGACCCGTCCCATCTTCCTCGCATTCACAAAACATGAAGTTACGCCTCTTGCGTTCAGGGGGCATCGAAATTCGTCGCAAACCTTACTTCCTACAAACGCGTTAGTTCTGTCCGCAGTGTGACAGGTGAGTTCAGCACATAAGCCCGGAAGGCTAGCATTGCGCAGAATTTTCACAAGCCTGATCGACAGTCAAATTGGGGATACTAGCTGCTACAAGATCTCGGGCTACTGTATAACAAATCCAACGCTCTAAGCGTTTGTCATATCTCGTTACACCAATAATCTATTCGAGGGTGTCAGTGGAGCCTACACGACAGAAGTAGAAGGTAATTAGCTGTTGAATCGAATGGTCTTTATTTCGATCTTCTCACCAACTGAATTTTATTGTGAGCCACATGAATTCAGAAAGGCTTACTCGTCTTATCCCTAACCCGCTTAACAGCATGTCACAATGCGACTGTTGTTACACGGATGGTTTTATTCTGAACCACAGATTACAGTTGCGTCCCAGGTGAGAACAAGTACTACTTGCTCTGTCCACATCAGTTTGTGAAGTCACCCTACAGGGCTATTGGAGGTCACACCAACTCGTTACCTGATGTTCAAGGTGGGTATCAGAATCTTGTAAAATTAGTTTAAAGCATACGTTCGATCATACAAGATTTGCGGAAGTATCCGAGTAGATCCTTGAGAAGTTTGCCTGATGGAGGTAATATTTAACCGTTTTGGAACCAGCGATTTTCTTGCCGCATCGAATGGATACCCCTCGGTTATCCTCTCTTGGTTAATTGTATCTATGAGACCATCAGCTGTTCGAAATAGATTGGTGGTTAGGGCACAAAACTATTGACACGACCTGTGGTTCGAACACAATCGTAGGGTTTCGATTGTTCCTCTGGGTATCTCAACCTTCATATGTTCAAGCTGCAGGACAGTTGTACATCGGTAGGTTACCACAGCTGATGTATTGTTATTATTAGTTACCATGTACAATCATCCTAATATCTAGCTACTGCGTTACCGCGCTGCCGCGCATTTCCCACAATTCAGTATTTCAGTCCCTACTCTTGCGCTGATTTGAACCGAATGGCTAAAGCTTTTGATACCACCGTAGCTGACTTGGAGAACGAGCTGGCTGTACTCATCCAGGACGGGAGTATCAAAGGTCGGATTGACTCACATAAGCAAGTAAGAGAACCTCTTTTTGTGATTATTCAGTAATTAATGATTTTGTCAACAGCTGTTTCTATTATCAGACGAAACAGTGAGCGACTGAGCAAACGTAAACAACCTGAAACCCAATCCACTGTTAGCTTGTTTACTGTTCATCTATATCGGATAAGTGAGCGATCGGTAATTAGCACGATCTCAGTTCCATGACATCAGATTAAAGTTGGATGCGCAGTGTAAATGAAATTCCTCTCACAGCAGACCTGTTATCGCTAAGATTTTACAAGTAATAATTAAGTGGAAATCCGCAAAAGTACAAAGATCATACCTCGTGAGCCGTGGGGCTTAGAAAAGTCATCCTATAGAACTCTATAGTACGCTAATTGTTCATGGTTTAAATTGGATCAAAGTTGCTGCGTCCAATCTCATGGGCACAGCAGTTTTTCCAGCTATTCAAGTTCTTGCATCGACATCCCTTCTAATATGACTTCTGATACGACCCTCTAGATTATCAGGCCATTCGTTTCCCCATAGTACGATCACCCCTCTGACGTTACAGAGATCTTAATAGGACTTAGGGAAATGTATTATAGGGTTAGCTTTGCATGATATAGACGAAGGCAGGGTAGAAAATGCCATGAAATTCGGATGGGACACATCTGGTTTGAGGGTCTTAAAACAGTTTCTTATATTATAAGAGTCAGTTCTGTTTACCAGTATGCCGCAACATCCACTGCAGCTTTTTTGCACGTAAAACATGTTCTAACAAGTGAATAGCAGCTGCTTCGACAGTGCCAAAGAAGTATGTCCACTTAGATGTAAAAGGTGATTCCAAAAGCTGCCTTGCTTCTATACGATGTTCGGTTTTTTTTTGGAACTACTTAATTGCTACACCATTGGGATTTGTCTCACTATCTACCCATAGTGTAGTGGAAGAGCGTACTACACGTAGAGGTAACATAGTTATCAGACTTATCTAAGTTGGATCCTGATAGGCGTTACGTCTATATCAGATCAGACTTATCTAAGTTGGATCCTGATAGGCGTTACGTCTAACATAGGTGGACGAAGCTCTTGGTAATCCGCCTTGCACAACTCTGGGAACGATGGCTATTCTCATCATCCTTGAATGGTACTGCGATTCATGCTTTCCTTTTGGGAACGAAACAGATAATCTTCTTCCCGATTTCGTCATTGCTTGGTGATGGGGTAGGGTGGCACCAGATACTCGCATTGCCTCTTCGCGCACTCATCTGATTATATGTAAGTGCAGCAGCAGGTGCCAAGGATGAGCAGATGTTTTCTCCGAGAATTTCTGAGTATATTCTCCAAAATCATACATTACATGAGGTGAGAGTACCACTCGACTCAAATACGCGCTACCTACAGAACTGCACAATACACAAAACATAGGAATTCTTTTATCATCGTTAACTGGGAGCACGCCCGTCCACTGGAGCTTATTGAATACACGGTCGTTAAGTAGATTCAAGCAATAAGACATTGTGGTTATTCTCTGGGGCGAAATGGCTCAGTCGTTAAAGCGCGAATTTACTGACCGGAAGTTCCTGGTTCGAACCCGACCTCTGCATCTCGACCTATCTTGTCTAGGCTTGGGTAACCTGGCAGTATCCCAGCCCTCGTGCTTCCTTCTGGTGGCATGGCAGCTGGGCACCGAAAAGGTGCTACAGCTGAACGATTTTTTCTCTCTGGATCTAGTTTCTCGGAGAGACTGGTTGTTCCCGTGACGTCTTCCCTCTCCATAAGTTAATTGTCCCCATTGTTGTCTCTTTTATTTTGCCTCATACAATCTTGATCTGTTTAGTCACTAAAGCCATGTCTGAATTTGAATGTTTAAGTGACGGCTGGAGTACGCAAATTGACTGAAGTCACATTGTACCGCTAAAACTTGACTTTCTCCTGGGTTGCGAAAATTCGTGAGAGGATCTAAGTGCAATCATGTATGTCCATACTCCTTTGAATCCTATTTTTGCCTCACTCAAACCATACTTTCTTCATATTCAGCCGTGATCCAGCTGGCCGGATCTGTTGTGTAAATACCTAGGAAAGCATTCGAGTCACTTGCCAACATATCCCTGCACATTCATACCACTTGGGTTTTTAAATCATGAATCCTATAGCTTGATGTAATATATGCAAGGAAGTTCTTGTTTTGTTGAGTCCGAGGAATAGTTGAATTCCGGGACAAAATATCGATTTCCGCACAAGCCTTGATGCTGCCTGTTTGTTAAAAACAACTCATCAATAGAATGGGTCGGTGCTTCACCAAGATATGCACAAAGTATTCAGTGGTTTCGTAATAGCCGTTTTTCTACGTGATTTTCACTACTGTAGTTCTAATGTAAATATGACTGGTACATTGTACACGAATTGCTGCTTTATCAGTTATAGTGAGAGCCAGTTCACTCGAAAATTCACATGTTCATTTTGTTGCTGAATCAGCTGTTGCGTGCGCTCAATGTGGATGAACGTTGCCTGACATTTGCTCGCGCTTTACGCTTGGCTGATGAATACAAAAAACGCACCCAGGCAATGGTTCTGCGGATGTCCTTGGTACGTCAACGACTCACATGTCAGGTTAGTTCTTTTCTGGTTTTCCTCACCGGCCTACGGGCAGCACTTCTTCGGACGACTGTCTGAGTCAACACAGGAACATTCCATTATGGAGTATCTTCAGTTTTTCTCTGATTTAGCCGCCTGAAATAATATCAATATTAGGGAGTCGAAAACCACTGCGCTGTGCACATAAGTCAGGAACATGATCATAAAGTCCGTCTTACAACCCTTGGGAGAGAAGCAGAACAACCTACCTTGCATCTATGGATGTATGGTGAGTAACACTTATCCACAGCAGTTTAACTGACCATTGGCTGACTCGGTAATCATAGGCCAATTACGCTACTTCTCTGAATGCAGCCTGACTACCCTATTATCAAAGTACTGCAGCTATCAAGACGGGCTGCCAATAGGCGGATGTGTTTATACTATTATGCATGCGCTCTTCAATGTGGACAGCATTGACTGGTGGTTTAACTACTGGAATCGCGAGCTAATTTCAACGTCTAGCCACCAGTAATATTTGTATTAAGTTCAACAACAGGTCTGTCCCATGTAACCCTATTTCTTCCGGTGTTGACAGTACTCTTTCCAGGTTATGCCCCGCGTTTCAGCAGAAGACTTGGTGTAACTAAATCTATTTGTGGAAAATTCGTTTTACCGCGTAACAACTGACCGCATGCGCATCCTACGAGCCATTCAACTTGTTACCTCAGACAACTGCTGTTGATGTATGTCACGAATTATGTTGTTTCTGGTGTGGATATGGACAAACTACTTAATGATCCATTGCGTTTAAGTTTCTGTATTCCCTATCAAGTACTAAAACCATCGTTGTATGCTTCTGAGTTCCACTTTTCCCAAGATGGCTGGGTTTTCCTAAGTCATACTATACATTTTAGGTTTAATGATCCAACGCTGCTTTGCAGTGGCCTCTATTGACTAATCACTTGTTTTCATCTGACGGATTGCCACCCAGAGAACGACTAGCTCATTCACGGCTTTATTTTCTCCAATCTTTCGCATGCGTGGTATCTGGCTAAAATGGGAATCGAAGTGATCATCCCAAACAAAACAGCCCTTATGCCAGACCTCATGAACCAGTTGGACGCCTGCTAGTTTCGATGTCTTCAAAGGCCTTTAAAACTCAGGTCAGCATGGCGTTTAACGTAAGAGTGGTGAGCCGGTGTACACTCGTAAAGGTCAAATTTAAAACAATGATTTATATCGCGATATCGTACCAGCTGAACCATGAGACGGTCGGCTGCAGCACATCTAGTTACTTAATAACATTATAAACGAGAGATTCAGCTAGGCTCCCTGTGAGTCTCCCGCAACACAGTAAGGAGCTCGCAGACCAAGACACGCAACATTAGACTTGGTTATATGCATTCCTTTTCCTGGCTGATCTCGACGATGGTATGGTATTAACACAACTACATTGCATGGATCTGCCTATTTTTGGGCAGTATTTGAGAGGCCAGCCATCGAAGTCGACACTCGAGGTAAGGCGATCCAGTTGCCCGGATCCAATGAGTCGGTATTCCACATCTTGATTCGTTGTAAAATTTCGAAGTGCGCTTCACGAATGTATCTGAAATGCCACTTTTCGGAAACCCTTCTTGCAAGAGTTTCTCTCGTTTGTTTTTAGGAATTGAAGGTCGTAGTTGCCGATACTCCCAGCACTTCCTTCCTGTCTATGCAGAAGTTTCACAAGAATGGTGTCTTCCAGCCAGTCAGATGTTACACAAAAGCTGCCGTTATTGATAGCTTTAGTTATGGTTAGTTAGTTTGTCAGTAAAAGGTTGCAGATGGCTGGTTCCATCTCGCGACAGTGATGGATACTACCTCATGCAAGCTTCTGAAAACCAGTGTTTGGCTCACATGTTTTGCAAATGGTAGTAAATATGCCGGCAGATTTTCATCTATATTGCAGTCACCAACCCGATGCGGATACAGAGGCTATTAGATCACATGTAACATGAAACAAGTTGCTTACTGGATGTCCCGATCAACTGATTCACTAACACGGGCTCAGGCACAATCGCCCCGCTGAGGACAGTTCTATATGTGCTTTGTATGTTCGGGCTTCTGCAACTGGATACAAGTGGGGCGTCCGGCTCGACTCAGTTTGCCACCCATATCTGTTACACCTGCGTAAATGTCGCAGCTGTTACGGATTCGTTCACAGATGGGGCGAGTTTATCTAACGGCTTGTTTTTTATCACCACTTCCTCAACCCATTCCAGCGGATGTCACGGACATTTTCTCTATCATCCTGTGATTTTACCTAGTCTTGCTTGCCTTTTCTCTCCGTATCTTTCAGGGTTCCCGGGAAGAATCTGATATGTTGAACTATCTTACTTGAGGTAATTACACGTAATTGACAACATATGAACACACTGTAATCGTTCGTTTTACTCAGAGTTTTGGAATCGTGTGCCAAAGCCGCCTGTTATGTCTATCAATTTTGTATCCCGTTCACCTATGATAATTAAATACCAACTTGTTTCACTCTCTCTGTTCACTTTCCAGCACGCCATCATTGGACACCTTTATGGCTCTTCTGTCTGATTCTTGCCCCATCGACTCGGAGTCACTTTTCAATCAAATTGTTTTATTGCGTTCCCCCAAACAGGGGAGTTAGTGCACCAAACGTTGCTCAGTTTTCATGAGACAAAGGAACCGAGCTAGTTATCGTCCGTTTCCTGTAATCCGTGACAGCTTGCCCGTTCCAACCATGTACCCGAGTATGACGATGACCTACTGCTTGCCGCCCCCACTACTGTTTCCCCTTTATTTGACATCATTAACCCGGCTGTTACTGGACCTTTTTCATACGTAAGGTGAATTGAAAATTTCATGAAGGAGGAGTTAATTTTGTTATGTTTACCTGGGTTACCCCGTCTATGTAGGAGTCGCTAAGCTGGCGTGTAAATCTCTCACGAAGATGGACGCTGTGCATTCCCAATAAGTCTCCCAATAGCCTCCTGCAACCGTGTTCGGCTGCGTTTAGCAGTTCAAATCTTGTGTTGCATGAACGCCATTCATTTGAGTGGAAAGACACTGTATGTAATCGTTTCAGAAGGGCTCCGTGAACAGTGGATATTTCTCGAACTTTATTCTCTGCGTTGTGCGTTTAGTCAACGAATTGCTCTCACGAGTTCGGCTCCAAGTGCCGGTAAGATCCCTTTGGAGCTTCTAACGTAATGGATTTCGATGACCTTTTCGCCTCGCATAATTTTTTCACTGTGATTGCTCTCTGGGAAACGCCATTCCTCAAGAACTAAGCAGATTGCACTTTCTAGTTCTCCTTATAACCCTTCTGCTCTACAAGGGGAAACATCACAACAGCAGTGCTTTTTTCCTTAGCTCACCCCCCTCAATTTGTACTAGCATACAAATGGACGGTATGTCGATCATGGCTGATAGCGTATACCGTGACACTAACAAAATCTTTTTGACTTTGATTGATGACACTCTAGGGCTTATCATGGGGAGAGCGGAAGGTGGGACCAGGCAACGTACGACAATTGATTTTTACCAAGTTCTCAATTGATATAAATTAAGATTGATCAGCCCATTTAAAACACATCACTCGTGAAACCACAAAACATCATTATCACAAACAGTAACACCAAGCCAAAGCCACCGCGCAGCTGTATAAATTTTGCTTTATCAATACCCCAAAGTGGAAATTGCAAATGGATAGGGACCCCGCGCTGATTCGTCACAATCGAGGTGTTAATACTTGCAATCACTCATTCGAAAAAGTTGGAGAAACACAAAGACCAATCATATTTTTTAGCGGCCGAACCTTGCAACGCCTCCAGCATTATGCAGGTAATGGCTTGACCCCTTCCTGAAAAGCGATTCGCTCAAACAAGAGTCAAACCATACGTATTTTTTCTCACCCCTCTGTCGGAACATACTGTGCTCGCGCAATTATGAGAGTCGTGATAAGTTTGGAGCGATTATCCTATTCACAACAAGGAGAAAACGATAGTCAAAGGTGGTCGTCACCGACGAGTATATCTAACCCGAGCTATTTTTGTAGCCCAGTTAGATGACCCCTTCTGATGAGACTACCTGAAATGCCCTTACCAAGGGGTTTCTTGTTTACCTCCTTTGAAAGGGGGGAGAGAAGCTTCAATAAGTGGCGAAAAATTCAGAACTTCCGTTGTTATTCCATCCAGAAAGGGCAACTGTACTGCACAAAAACTCACTTAAATTAAGGGTGGATTCAGTCCTGATCTATATTTGACCATCCGGAAGAATTTGGGCCTCTTTCATGGACGCGCCAGTCTTCAAATTTTCCGGCCCATTTTCTGACTTCATTGGTTATTTGAGTCAGGTGATTCACACTTCTTCCGTTCCGTTTGAGGTCTCTCTTCGGACCTTGACCGATGCACCAATACGTTACGGTTAATGAATACTACAATGTACAGGGTTGGCACGTAACCACAACCATTCTCACAGGATTACGGATATTATGACCTCCATTTTTGTCTGAGCTAATGCAACATAGCTCATTCGTGTCAGATTACTCCCACTAATCTTTACATTTACCTCACGTTGAACGTTGGTTTGAACAGCTTGAAACGAAGTACCTCTCCATTTATTGTCGAATGCAGCAGCGTGCGCATTTCAGAACAACCTGAATGAGAAGTTACGACAAATTCGAAAGATTTTTTAACATGACTGCAAACACTCACTTGTAGGAAATAAGCTCTGGGTCGTTTATTGATACCAGCTCCATGAGCACACATTTTTGTGAGAATATTGCATATGATCTAGAAATGCGGAATATTTGAGTACAACAGTGGGTTTTCGTTCTTCGCTCCTAAAAAGATGGTCACTCTTTTTGGCCGAAGAGCTATACTGTCAGTAAATAAGCACGTTGTGTGACATGCTGTCAAACACTTCATTGGACCGACCGGTTCGGCTTCCGCTTCTACCGTACTAATCTCGCAAATGGTCGGTTACCGGCATTCCGGTCAGTAGGTCAATATACTCCGATATAGTTTCGTCTATTAGTTGAATCAACCGACTCATCACAAACTGATTTGGTATACCGCTAATTCTCCCCCGTCAACCCAACATCCAATTTGTTAGAAAGCTACGCATACTAAAATTTCAGTACCGGTGGACCTGAGGCTGAACGGTAGATTTTGATGAAACCACATCTGTCGAGTATCGTTGACGGCGTCGTGATGGTATTGCTCCATCGATCATTGCAAACTGGGAGTACGGGTTGCATGGAAGACTCTGCACGTCAGCTATTGGGAACAAATTGAATAATAACTGAATTCAGAAGGGAATTTTTGGGTTATTATTAGTCAGTCCTCTCGAAAGGAAACATTTTTCTGGCAGAAATGTTCATACGATCGGTCAAGGCTCTTAGTTTGTTCAAAGACAAAGAGACTGACGGACCGTTACTACAGTCATTCTGACGCATCTCTCCTCGTAAGCAACGCTCTAAACTTGAGAGGCTTTCTATCACGAAGCTGATTTATATTGCTTGCATCCTTATCATTGGATGCGTTGTTATCGCACCTTTTGGGCTCAGCAGACCACGGCCCTACTTTGTTAAACATGGTACGGCCACCTGCATAGCTAAGACCGTTTACGAGATTCTGCTTAGCATTTGTTCAATTCAGTGGGCATTAGTTTTCCAGCTAGAACAGATGACACTCGAGCGTTTTAATCGCTGACAGGTGTGACTCAGCAGTTGAATGAACATTCACCTCTCGTTTCCTCGAGAAGCAGCGCTAAGTGTACTGTCGGAACAGATATAAACTTTGACGTAACCGCATAGAGGGTGCGTCTGGTCCCTAAAGAAATCCGCGCGTGTTCCGTTAAATCTCCCCGAATATTTCTGTGGACGTGGGTTATTTCGAAAATGACGGGTTTTGCAGTACTCCATGTTTAGCACTTTCCTTGTTGTGGACATGAAACACTGTACACTACTTTCAGTAGTGTGGGCCAAATTCAGTACCACTCACATATCTCAACCTAGAAACTTTAAACACTGCCAGATACTTCCAAAACCTCTTTCTTCTAAATCGGTTTCGCCAAAATGATGCCCGTCACTTATCGCCATTTGCCCACACGTATACTTACGTGCTAGAGTTTCTTTTGTTTGTCCTGTACTGCCTGTCCGTAAGAAAAACTTTTCAAGAACACGCTATCTTCGAGCTGTTGCTTGATTTAGAACTCAGCATAACAACGTAGAGGTGCTTAAATGTTCCTTTCCAAATGTTACTAAGTTTTTCACTGATTTTTCAAGCAGACAGGACCATTAAATATGCCTATGTAAAACCACCGCTTCAAGTCAGACAAACTATCGCCTAATCTTTTCTTTCGGTACCTATCGACATGGAGTACTCTGAATTGACCAGAGCTGACTACCTCTGGCAGTGTCCCAGGTTGCAAACAGTGGGATCAGCTTCTTAGTGGCCATGTGGGAAGGTTAATTTGGGAATAATCCGCCGCTGATCAGTAAGCCGTCGTGGGCAAACAGCGGTGGTGCCATCGGTACGAGTTGCGTTCTTGCTTGTTTGTC